AAAAAATGCTTTTATTTTTGAAAGTTGAAAAATCATACCTTTGCAATATGGTCTAGGCAATATGTTTTGAAATGGCGCTGCGTGTAATAAATCACAAACTTCTTCTTGTGATAGAGCTTGTTCCATTAAAAGGCAAAACAAAATTGTGTTACCAAATTCACGAAAATTATGGAAAAGTTCAGTTTTAGCGTCTGGATATTGCACAATGTCATTTAACTGGGCATGATAATACCCCAAAACTCCTGGAGAACCGTAATCATATCTCGGAAGTTTACAAACCTTTGGCATAGCCTCCATTAAGGTCTTAGTAAATTGGTGTAAACTTCCTTGAATTAAAGATTTTACAATTTTTAAAAGTTCTTCCATTACCACTGCAATACCTTGATATCCAAGAAGTTTACACATTGTTCGAAAATGCTGCGGGCCAACAAATCCTGAATATTGCCCATATTGTGTACTATACGCTAAATTTAATTGTTTACTTCCCCAGAGATAATGGTGAGACATTTGTGGAGGTTTATCTCTATGTACTGGTTGTACAAATTGTAGTCCGCGACATTTTACAAACCTATTATAAGCATATCATATTTTAATACGAATTAATTACTAATTTTATATTTTTCTTCTTTGTTTTGTTATACCTATTTGTTGCTGCATTATAGCAATAACTAGGAAGAAAATCATAATTCAGTTCCCAAAATACATGAAGTGTAATTCTTCCATATGGAGCTAAAACATTATGATTTGCTTCACGGAACATAGCATCATATTCATCCAATGCAAGCCATTTACTTAACAGTTTATGAGTAAGACGGTTCACTTGTAAAAGTCCTTCTAATTCCTATAAAATATATTGTATTATTTTGTAATTTAAACCCCTTATAATATTCAACTATTCAATAAAGGTAATTGACTTACTACAACTCCTGTGATATCGCCAGATTCAAATTTACTTATTGCTAAATCCAATGATTTTTGCATATCCGCGTTAATGCGCTGAGTAATCAATTTATTTAAATCAATACTTCTTCCCAATAATTGTACATGCCTCTGTTTAAGTAAAGTTTCGTATCTATTGGCGCGAGGATAAGGAAGTAAATATGCTCCTAATGCAACACATTCTACTCGAAATCTTTTATCTAACAAGATACTTGCAGCTAATTGTTTATAATGAGCAAAAATTTGTTCACTAAGCTTGTAAACGAACTGATCAAAACATAAGTTCACTTCAGCTTCTACTTCATCGTAAAGAAATTGTTTACGAAATATAGTTAAAGCGTACAATGCGCTATCATTGTACAAATCAAGTGGATATAAAACATACCTAAAAAAAATATTGCATTAAAAAATGCAAATCGTAAATATGTCTTACTTTTACTTACTCCATCATTGATGGTTCCTTGCTTCGTAATATATGATCGGTTAATATCCACGGCATGGACATCTCGATGGGAAACTAAAATATGCATTGATAATTTTTGTACTTGGTATAAAATCATTAGTACAGATGATAATAAAATATTTATAATGACATTAATATAATAGAGTACCTGAATACGCTTTTCCATGGTAATCAAATCACTGCACTCTTCATTATGTTGATGGCGTACTTGGCATTTCTAACCATGAAATCAAGCACACAAAATACTATTTTTAGAGCAGAAAAATTGAATAAAGAATTTTAATTACCTGTATCTTTCGACCCATAGTCATTTCTAGGTAAAATTCCCTGTACCATAATTGAGATAAATCACAACAGTCCTGCAATGATTCTACAAAAAGATGAATGTATATATTAACAAATTACTGTACATATTATGAAACTGACACTATGGTAAGTTGTACTTACCACTAAAATTTAAGAGATAACTCCAATAAAAACTAGTTTTATGAAACTGATCAATTTGAACAAGGTACTGTCCATCAATATCTTTTCTCAAAGTACGTTTTCCACCACTCTTATCAGCAATCAATGATTCTAACATAGTACGGACCATATAAAGCTGTGTCGAAGATGGTCCTAAATAAATATATTGATTTTAAAAGTCAAAAAGTCAAAAAGTCAAAAATTATGTAACATTGATAAATGTAATTTTTTTCAATCTTACCAACATTTCTGCGTGGTACCTTAATACCAAATCCATTGTCAGGATCTTTCTTTCCTTTTAGTGCAGGATCTCCTAATGGTTCTACACCAAAATGCCAATCTGCACAAGTTTCTCTTACAGACACAATAATGCTAAAAAGATGGATAAATAATTTAATACTTGTACAATATCCTTTGTTAAACAAATTAATATATCTACCTCCTAATAAGATCTTTTTTATTTTTTATTGCTTTACGCAATGGTTCTCGCAAAATAAGTTGTACAAAATCTTGTAACTCTGCATATATATTTCGACGAATCGCATCAATAAAGACGGTTTCCATACGCGCCATTAGTACTTGTAATCCCTTAATCATTGCAATAACTTCTATCAAAGCAAATTTCTCTTCGTCTGTATAATTGTAACGTGTAGCCTAAACAATAAAATATATTTATAAATATTCTGTTACGAATAGAAAAATTATTAATATATCTTACTCTCTCGTATTCTTCAGCTTCTTGTGGACATTCTTTATTCATATGATGATCAGTTGGATGGAGAAGTTTCCAGCTATAGAGTTCGGTCACGACACTCGTCCACTGAGAAAGTAATTGCAATCCCCGTAATGCTAATTCTGCAGTTTCCCGATTTTCTGCATCACTTCCACATTCTTTATATGTTGTGGTTACTTCATTACTATATCTGTATTGTGATTAATAAAATTAATATTTTTGTATAAATTCAGGATTACTGTTTCTTTTTTCATATTTAAAAACAGTAATTATTTGTTATTATTACCTTGCTAATTCACTAATGTATTTTACATGATCTTCTCTAATTTGTGGAAGGTGTACCATAAGATCAGCTTGAGGGCTTATACTATTTGAAGAAGAAGACAGTGGCCATTTGGATGCATCAAAATGTTTGGAACGTTTGATATAATTAAAAGGTGCAATTTGCATGTCACCAAATAATGGTACTACTTCTAAATTTTTGAAGATTCTATCAATTCTGTCCAATTTTAATTTCTTTTTTTGGTCTAGTTTATTGATATTGCAGAGTTCACTATCCATTAAGAATAAACCAAATCCCATTACTTTTACTAACATATGTTTTTCATTTGGGGTCAAATACATTTTAGTCTCAAACATATGAACACATATATTAACAACATCTGCAAGCAACTCTTCGTATCCTGCAATCTTTTCCAAATTCTCTTTTACTGTATCGCGAATTTTATTTTGGGTAGCTAAAAACATTGATAAATTTTGAGATTCTTGCAATGTTTGAGAATCAGACATTACTTTAAGAAACTGAGCAGCTCTGAAAAGAAAGTGTTATTCTTTTCAATCAAACTTTTTGTTACTGATACAACTAAAAAAATAACCGTTACCTTCTATACGTAGAGTAATCATTTTTCACGCTAGATTTCATATTTTTAAGTTCATCTAAAACTGCAAACATGTTAATAAATTTTCCTAATGTAAGTAAGTATGCTTCTGAAACAAAATCTTTTCTTTTTTCATGATGACATAAACGTTTTACTTCTCCAGAAAACCTTTCAATTGCTTTTCTCTGAAAGATAATATTATATGAATTTCATACACATAAACATATATACGTACAAGGCAAAATTATTAAGTAATTAAATGCTTACTTGAAAATACATAAAATTCAGTAATTTATTTACTTCTGGTGCTAATACTTCTACTGTTTTTTCATAAATTTCTACTCTGTTTGGCTGTTCATTAGATTTTGGCTGAGGAATTGCACGGGAGCAGCATCTCCATGTATATAACATCACTGCATGTTTCAATCCTTCCTCTAATAATTCATTCTTTAAAATAGAAGTAAAGAAGATTATTTTTTATAAATAGTAGAAAAAGATTTATATTTGATAGTTATTAATATAATTACCAAACTTGCATGAACAGTAGCCTCTTCAATATATTTTGCAATTCCAGTTACAAAGCCATTTCTATCTTCAAAATTAGTATCAAAGTTGGCTTGATATACTATAGAACATGGTTGTGCCTCGATGCAAGGCTGTTCATATGGCAATGTGAATTCATCAAGTACATCAACATTCGACAAAGCATCACTTAAAGTTACTTTGTCGGTAGCCATGATAACTTAAAACTGGATAAAAATATTACATACTGTTAATACTTGAATCTCATTAAAAATAGATATATAATATTAATCAGTTACTAAGAAATATTTATCTACAATTAATCATTGTCCTTTTATGTGACTTACCTCTGCTTACCTCTTCTAAGATTATGTTTCTAGAGATAAATGTACTAGAAACTTATAGTTATTATAAAGTGAAATAATTTTCAAATACTTTACAGTATATCTAACATATTTTGATACAATAATGTTTGATACAATAAAGTATACTGTGAATACATATACTTTTAACACTCCACCCTTTTACTATAATAAATAAAGTGATTATCCTATCAACAATATTTAAAGTCTATGTTGCAAGTTTACCGCGCATAAATCGACACGCAACGTGATGCGCGCCAAAAACTCAACTTATATAAATTGATATAAATTAGTCAAATAAGTTGTGACAAAAGTGGAAAGATTGTACAACAGATGAGATATAAAATAGAATCTATTCTTCTCTATTAAAAACATGGAGTGAGGGAAACCCGCAGCTCTTCTTGACATAACTAGATTAGACTATTAGACCGAAGCTGTATTTAAAAAGCTTCAATTACTCAATGTACTAGTAATTTTGTACCAAAGATAAGGAAAATATTATGTGAAAATTGTTCCTGAAAATATTTCTCATATTTCTATTTTCTTATAGGGCGGTATTCACAAAGTATCCGTCAGATTCACAGTCGTCGATTCAGAGAGCGCCACTACGCCTTGCTGCCGAGTTACATATCTACATTGCAGTAATTGTAAGCAATAGAAAATATATAATATGGTGGACAATGGCGCTACACGGTTTAAGAAATATATATTTTCATAACATATAAAAACAATTCTTGTGCGTATTTATTGGTACTTGAATAATTGTAACATGGAGACTCGAACAAATGAGCTATTAACAACAGGCCCATTAGCTACGGTTAAAGAGGAACCGCTTGATCACAGTGGCGCGAAGCAAGACATGCAACCATCCCAAGTACAGGGCGTTTGCATTGAAGAAGAGTGCGAACAGCGTATTGAATGTACAACAGATGGTCAAGAGAATGAAACGCGTGCATTTTTATCGAAGTGTGTATTTTGTGGAAAAACATTCACTTTTGGTGATGATCCAAAACTTTTAGAATGTTTACATGCAGCATGCACAGCATGTGTCAATAGTAAACTCAGTGATCATAATACATCAGTTGACGTGGATGTCTTGTGTAAGACTATTACTTATTTATTATTTTTTATTTCATAAATCCTAATATGCGTAGTATATGATTTTTAGTTTGTTCTCAATATTCATATAACTAAGTACTCAAACATTTTATCTGTTTTGAATATATTTTTGTATTTATGCAATTAAACTTTTTGCTTTAAATGTATATACGTACTTCATACAATTAACTTTTGCTAATTTTAAATTATACATATAATAATACATATTTATTGTTACAGTGGAAAGCAATGTGATTGCATGTCAAATTTGTAATGTTACCACTCAAGCAGAAAATTTAATTGAGAATCGATTTCTTTCAAAGTTTATAGAAGAAGATAATAGTCCAGGTACTGATGATGAATCTAAAGAAACAGAGGAAGAAAAAAAATGTACTAGTTGTCACGATAATGCTACTGCCACAAGTTGGTGTGTGGAATGCGAAGAATTTATTTGTCAGAGTTGTGTTCTGGTAATAAAATTATAATATTGTATCATGTTATTATAGTTTTTTAAAAATCAGATAGAAATTATTTTGAATATCGTATCTTTCAGGCACATCAAAGATTAAAAATAACAAAAGATCACACAATTAAACCAAAGGATGAAGTAGCCAATGATAGAGATAATGTTAAGAAAAGTAGCAAAAAAATACCTGGCTGTTTGTTTTGTACCATTCATTCGCATGAACAGTTGTCTTTATTTTGTCAAACGTGTGATAGGCTAACTTGTAGAGATTGTCAGTTAACTGAACACAGAGATCATAAGTACAAATTCATTCATGAAATTGCTGCTGAAACACGATCTTCGGTATCTACTTTACTTAAGGAAGTGAGGTAATTTCCTTAACTTTTTTTTTATATTTTGTTTATACAATTACTACATTGTTTTAGAAATTCTAACTATGTCTAAAATGTGTTTGTTTTCAGTTATAAGCGGGTTTTATTGAAAAGTGCAATGAAAGTTATAGAAGATAGGCAAGTTCTCATTTTAGAAAAAAAGAAAAGTTTAGTACAAGACATAACACAAATGGTGGTGCAGTAAGTTTTTCTTAAATTTTGTACTTAATCTTATGTTTTAAACAAAATTATTTAACTTATATAATACCTTTTATACAGATTAACAAATGCAATTAACACAAGAGGAAAACAGTTGGTTATGCGTTTAAATGAAGTTTGTGATCAAAAACAGAATACTTTAAACGAAAAAAAAGTTGCTTTAGACCAATTATCGAAACTTACAGATCATTGTATTCAGTTTGTAACTCATGCTTTGAAAAAGGGTTCAGATATGGAATTACTATATAGCAAAAAGTATGTATTTAGTTAATACTGTAAAAGACTTAAAAATGATCAGAAACGTTTTACAATACCGTTATTACAGATCTGTTACGAGTCATTTGCAAAGAATCAAAAGTAGACGAGCGGACATTCCAAATCCAGAAATACCAGTTAGAATACACTTATCCTTGGAAAAAGTACCAGATTTGATAAAAGGTTAAATTAATAATAATAGGTGCTTAATTATATACTATTAATATAGGTAGTTTGTGGTATTGCTATAAACTAAAATTATTTTACTTTCTTAATTACAGTAAAATAATAAACATTTCATTTACATCAAATAAAATATATATATATATTTTTAATTTCAGTGGTTTCATCCATTGGAGCAATAGTTGTAGATGGTAGAGTATACCCTTCAATATCTCCATTAGGTGGAGTAAATGCACCATATAATGAGTCTCAAACAGATCAAAAGCAAACAACTAATCTATCAAATGTGCATATGGATGGTTCTTCCGTAGCTACACCATTACCAGCTGCAACACAACCCTCGAATAATATGCAACAAAATTCCTATCAGCAAGTGCCTCTTCATCTAGCATCCCAACAACAGCAGCAGCAACCACAATCGCAAAACTATATGCAACATCATCCTCTGAATAATATGCCACCTCGATCGTCACCACAGGCGCATCAGCCACGTGTGCCGTATGCAGTTAATTTTAATAATAGACTGCAACAGCCATTAATGATGCAACAGCGTCCTTTAGGAAGTTGTCATCAACAAGTAACATCATCTACACATCCTCATCAACAGGTTCATATAGACCAACTGGGACAGAACACAAGTTTACGCGGACTTCTTGCACATAATCCCCCTCCTTTTCGTCCTTCTACAAATCATGTACCATATCGCTTACCACCTTATAGATATCCTCCAAATAATTCTCAACGACCAGTACCACCACATACGTATCAACCACCAAATACATCTATTTCAATGCCTAATATGAGGCTTCAACAATGTAACCCAACTTCTCTTTCTACGCAACATATAAATTATCCTATTCAACAACCAGCTGCAGCTCGTTGGCATATTCCTCAAAATGTTAATCCTTGTCTTCCTTGTTATACTTCCCGTCATCAAACACCTTCCATGCCAGTTCCTACTAATGATACTTACAAAATAACATTAAAAAATCAGCAATCAAATGCAAATCAAAAATATAGTACACAAACAAGTACTATCTCCGACAATCCACCTCAGTCACAAAATGCAGTATCTGTTGGTCACACAGTCAGCTCATCAGTACCTAAAACGCCTAGTCCTGTGCCTGCTGGAAAATCAGATGAAACTGAAAAAAGTTTAGATAAATTTTGCCAAAAATCCTTAAACGATTTAATGCTCACTATCGCAAAATTAGATAGTAACGGAATCGTGGTAATACCAGAAGCTCAACGAAATCAATTAGATTCTACTCAAGTAGATAGTTCAACGGATGAAGGAATGAATCCAATGACTGAAAATTCATCAGGTATTTTAATAGCTTGGAAATAATTATATAAAATATGTTTAAAGATACATATAGTATACATGAAATATAATGATAAATATATATATACACAATTATATGTTCAATAGATAATTCAAAAAATACTGCAGCATCCATGACAAAGGATGATCCCAATGAAGACTGGTGTGCAGTATGTATGGATGGAGGAGATGCAGTATTGTGTTGTGATAAATGCCCAAAAGTCTTCCACTTATATTGTCATATTCCTAGCTTAAGATCGTTTCCTGAGTAAGTATATAAAATCCTATAACTTAATAAGGCTTATAAATATTCATATAAAATTCTTTTGTGCACCAGTGAAAGCGAAACTTGGCAATGTATGTTATGTACGAATGTTCTTGATTGCTCGGATGATCCCCCAGAAGAAAGAAAACCGAACACAATGAGCGCGAAAGAATTACGAATTGCGCAAAGAATTGTGTTAGAACTTTATTGTCAGTACGAACAAAGTTTACCTTTTCGCGAAGTCGTATCTAGTGAGGTAAATTTATTGTAATCGTTTATATTATATGTATTATGTATATGTATATGTATAAATGTAATTAAATTTGTTTGTTTTTCATCAACAGATAGTTGACTATCATCGTATTATAAAGAAGCCAATTGCATTGGATGTAATTAGAGATAAATTAAAATCTAAACATCCAAATCATTATACAGATTTGAGACAGGTGATGGCAGATATCAGATTGATGTTTAAGAATGCTTTTACATACAACCCTGTAAGTTTTGTTTTAAAAAGTTATAATTGTTTACGTTCCGCAATATCAGTATATTATTATTGTATTACATTCAAAAAATATTTTATATGATTATATGATGTTATTTTGTTTAGGTTGAGTCGCAAGTGTATCAAGAAGCTCGAAATTTAGAAGAATTTTTTGAAAAATTATTGTTAAAATGGGCTCCAAATTATGCTTACGATGATCCTTTTCTTTCGGCTGATAGAGATGAAGATGAAGAAGTATTTCCTCCCAACAGGAAATACCGACGTATAGTTAGTGATTGATTGTTATTTTGCACAATTGAGCACTTGAATATTCATATTATTTTTAAAACACGTTATATTTTAAAATAATCTGTGGACATTTCTTAGTTATATTGAACATTGCTTTTCCCATTTAGTGAATTGATAACGTACATACATTATAAATGTTTAAAGACATTAACAGAATAATTGAACAAACGTTTATAATTATAATATAGAATTCTTCGAATTTTTTGTTTAATACAAAAAAATTTATATCATGCTTGATATGTATAAGCTTATAAGTGCATGAATTTATAAATTAATTATGAGTATATTTTTACTCACAAGTTTTTTATCTATAAAACGTTCAGATGCTTACTATCATTTATGAATTGATCATGAAATCATTTGATAAAATATGTATCATTGTTGCACACCATTAAATGATTTATTAAAAATTATATTAATTTTATGATGAAGTATTTCAGTAAATACACAAGTGTATTTTTTATAAAGTATTATGACTTTTACATACATACATACACACACTATCATTCTAATAAAATTTCATAGGGAAAATGTATTATTCGTTGATAAAAAATTATAATTGACTATGTTCAGTAAACATACTAATTGGAACTGTTATAAACTGACACCATTCACTAAGATGATTTTAAAAATAATTCATCCTTTTAATATTTATAGTATATGTTACATTTAATAGTCAAATACACGTTCAATTTATTTTGTAACAATACATTAAAATTAACTATCTTAATGTTTGGTTCTAACTTTAACTTATTTAACAGTAGTCAAATATATATATATATATATATATATACTTTCATAAAATTTCATACATGTTAGATTAAGTCCAAAAGAATTACTTTTATATAAAAGTAATCAGTAGATTTTTTCAGATGATTGTGTTTCTAAAAAATTGATTTTGTAATAAAAATTGTAAACCTACAAATTAAAAAATATTACATGTTACATATGTAATCTTATAGTAGAATTGATTTTATAAAAATTTTATAAATTTGAAACACTTATGTATCATTTAAAATGTAATATGTTATGCTGATAAAAACTAATAAAAAGTTATGGAGAAATGGAGAAAAAAATGAATTTTGTCACTGTTACTAAAAATATTTACAGTGATTCCTTTTTTATCTTCAGTTGTACAATTTTGTGAGCGACCAATCATGTATTCCTAGTCCCTGAAGGTAACTGTTTAGTTCCAAGTTACAAGCAACCGTAATCATGCCTGTAAGTTCAAATTTTAGGAAATGGATCACAGGATTTGGTGCAATAAGTAGTGCTGTTTTTTTTCATCCAAATGATAATGATAATAATGAGGTACCACAAGAAGATAATCCTTGGATGCCACTCTCATCATCTTGGGCTAAATGGAATCATAATTGGGATAGGTTATATTCTGTATTATCATTATCAATGTTTATCTATAAAAATATTACTGACCTTGTAATTTACTCTTTATATGTAATTAAAATTATTTTTTCTTAATAAATGAATAAAATTAAAATTAACTGGTATGAAGTTATTAATTTAGTTAATTATTTATTCATTTATTTTTAATCTAATGCTTTAAAGCTTATAATTTTATTTATAGAAGAGATCCAAAAAGTTTAATAAACCCAAAGAAAGCAGGCAGTGGGATTGATGAAAATACATACAACAAAGAATTAATACATAAAACATCAAAAGCAATATGTCACATCATTTTGATTCGTCATGGACAATATAATACAAAAGCCAAAACAGAGGCAGAAGGAACACTTACAGATCTAGGTAAGTAATTTTTACAAATAATTTATGCTTTGATATAATGTTTAATCTTTAATAAATGTAGTTTTATTGCAGTATTGTAATTACACATTGTTATTATGATAAGCAGTTTAAAGATCAAAACAATCAGTTATTTATAATTTGATACTTATGTTTTACATAAAGTTAAATTAAAATTTAAACTATTACAAAGGCAGACAACAGGCTGAGATAACAGGAAAGAGATTACAGGAATTGGGATTTCCATATAATTCACTTATACATTCAACTATGATTCGAGCACAGGAGACTGCTGAAATTATACAGAAAAATCTTAAGAATGTAGAAGTAAAGAATGATTCACTTCTTAATGAAGGTGCACCAATTCAACCTGAGCCAATGATCCATTGGAGGCCTGAAGTAAATGTAGGTATTTTATGAAATTGGAAGAATTGCTTTTAAAAGAAATATGAATTACTAAGAAATTGAAACTATGCATATTTAAAATAATATTCTTTAGTTTTTTAGAGATGGACCGAGAATAGAAGCGGCATTTAGGAAATATTTTCATCGCGCAGATCCTAGCCAAGAGAAAGATTCTTATACAATTCTTGTTTGCCATGCAAATGTCATTAGATATTTTGTATGCCGGTAAGCTATATCTTGTATATTATTTAGTTATTTTATTGATTCTTCTTTTAATGTATTTATTGATTTTAGAGCTCTACAATTTCCACCACAAAGTTGGTTCCGTCTAAGTTTAAGCCATGCGAGTATTACATGGATCACCATTTACCCTGATGGCATTGTAACATTATGGATTTTTGGTGATACAGCTCATATGAAACCACAATTTATTTCATAATTAAAATACAATATAAAGTATTTTCAATGTATATGCTTGGTATTATTTTCAGTTTATAAATAACATGAAAACAGAATATTTACACTTATTTATTTGTGATAAGTATTATTTATAATTACTTATTGCATCAGTATTATTTACAATAAACAAGAATCGTAGCTCTTAGCTCGATATTATTTTCTAAAGATTATCTTTTAAGAAATCTTTAGAAAACGATATCAATTACCAGGTCACACCACGTGGAAGTGGCTATGACTGTGACCCGCCCCAACTTCTAGTCACGACAAAACAACTATGTTATCTTAGAGAGAATTGATGAAAAAACAATTTAAACTATGAAATGTTGAAACAGAAAACATAATTATTAACATCATAATTTCAATAACAAGTAAAAAAATAACAATTCTACATTTGTCAATAAGACGCAAAAGACATTTTATATTTTGTAAAAGAATTCAATTTCCTGTTTGGTTAGTTTCGCATCCCACTGCTAGATGGTGACAGCAATACAGTTTCCGAAAAAGGCGGTGATCATTGCCACACTTCCAAAGTGTCCATTAATTTAAAAGCATAGAACAATTATGAATATAATATTATTACAATGTTTTTAGTCAATTTCATTCATTTTTTATATGAAATTATGATATTTTATATATTTACTGTACAAAGTTGAGGATGAATTTTATATTGAAATGTAACCTATTGTAATATGTTCGAACTTATGGGAGACATGCATTGTAATAGTTCTATTATTTAATTGACTACTATCTTATAATATAAGATAATATTATAAATACTGGAAGCAAGTTTTCGGGTATCGAAAAACAGTTAGAATTGTTTCGGCCCGGTGGAAAATAGAGGATGTAGAAAGAAAGCACGGTAGACGTTACGTCGTTGATGAGCTCCGTGAATCCGGTCCGTTATCACTGGAATTTTAAAAGGCCGCCTCCTCGTCAACTTGGATTTATTCGAATTAAAACTCTACAGGGCCGCACGCCGTTTGTCTGCCCGATAAGATTCTTCCTCGTGAACAGGAACGGCCACTATTATTTTTGCTCGTTGCCTTAAAATCACGTTCCTCAAACTCTAATCTAACCATCAGACCCTCTATATTCAAGTTAAATCTGCAAATTTTAATTAACCTATCGAATAATAGAAACTGAGGATTTTCAAAGAAAGATTGGAAACTATATTTTTGCAAAAGTTGTTGAACAGGAGGTTAATGTTATTAGTGAAAATTGCAAAATCTAGATACGTTATCAGCAGAGTTTCAATCGATATACGTTTACAGTGTTCTGTGGTCGACTACCGACACTGAAATTGCATTATAGAGAGAACAAACCCGTAGCAACTTTGGTGATAAAATCACTTTTAAGAAGAATAATTTTATTATAAAATTAATAACAAAACAACGTGATTTTATAAAGTTCGTTAAGTGCAATCGTTTAATTTATTCAAATTTCTTGTCTCTGATAATTCAGCCTTGTTTTTACAATTATGTTCGAATTTTTTACACTATCCTGAGATTCTAAGAAAAATTTTAAAGGAACTTCTTTTCTTTTCTTAACTTCCACCCCCAAGTTTGAAGGTTTGTTTATGTTTGAGGAATTAGTCAGTGGGGCACCGTTTTAAACGTGTCCTTACCTGGAGGTTCGGCGTCTACGCTGGACTTTGCTTTATGCGGACACTTTATGCCCCCGATTGCGAACGACACCGGAACGCTCTCAAGTCCACAGCACCGATCAGGATCCTTTTCCGATCGCAAAACAACGAGAGCGGTTTAATTTAAGGTTCTAAGAAGGCCGGGAACTGTGTTTCCTTCGTTGGGGTCTACAAGTTGCCGGCACGTTTTAATAATCGTGTTCTAGACGACGAGCATTCTCGTAAAACAGATTCGTTTTTATGCATGATTCTCTTATCTCGACCCTCCGGAGGTTTCTCATACGATCCCAAATAATGTCTCGTGAGCGATGGAATTCTGTTGAATTTTGAGCTTTTTAGTTTCCATTAAGGAATTTTTAATTTAAAATTAAATTAAGTGGTTTTTTATTAAGAAATAGGTTTTTAAAATCTTCTAAGCTTAAATTTTCTTAGAAGTTTTCCAAGATACGTTAATAAACTTAAACTGTATAAACGGTTGTAAGAAACTTAAGGGAGAACCGATAGGTTCAGACGGTTGTAACGTATGTAGAGATTGGGGGTCAAAAGTCAAGACACGAATGGAGATGGGGGTCGGCAACAATTTAATGGCTGCAAATGGCAGTGTTGGGAAAATTGCCGGTGCATCGGAGACGACGAGTAGAGACAAATACGATGCGGAGAAATATCGGCAATCGGTGCGGGTCCCATTTGGTCTTTAAACGTTCCATAAAAAGAGCTGGACACGATTTACGTTTGATTATAGACTGAAAGTTGGCACAAAATGACTATCGATACAGATGGGAGCGACCAACTGGAGATTATAGGTAATGACTAATGATATACCCTCAATCTCTGCAGAAATCGACTGTTTTAAAGAACGTCGAAACATGAAGGTTTATTTTCATCGTTGAGTAAAATTGAGTATTATCATTAGATTATACAAAAAAGAATTCTTTTTGTTAGAGGCATAGTATCTATTTGAAAGTGAAGCGACGAATGACCGTAGGTTTAACTAATTCACTCGTTGTTCGTGTATCTTCATTGATACAATTTCACTCGGTTCTGCATAAAACACCGACTTGGATTCGATTCGTTACTCGTTAATCGAATCGATCCGATCCGATTGAGAGCTAAGTAATCGATGTCTAGCGTTTTCATTATTTTCCCTATCTATATTTAATATAAAAACATTTTATTTTTTAGTTTTTCGAAAAAACTCGAGTCCTTTGGTTCAATTTTGAAAAGGTTCTTCTGTTTTGAAGGGTGGATTTCTGTGACCCATCGTAAAATTTTCTGTCTTCGTCTATAAATAACGCGTTCTTTCTCTTCCTTCTACTAATTCTTCCTTCTACTCTCCTGTACATCGCCCGGTATCTGTAACAAACAGGTTACATAAGAATCGGGAAAAAAATCGCCTGCCCATCCATCGGAGCATGAACAAACGACGAAGGCTAACAGAGCGCGCAATTCCGTGGAGAAAGGAGCGGGAAGAACGAAGTCCTTTCGCTGTCGAACAATTGATCCCCGTCAATCGAATTGATTCATCGTCGAGTGGAACGCGATACAGCGACAGGACGAAAAACAGGGTTCTTGTTCCATGCTGTTTCCTTCTCTTCTCCAATACCATATTCCAAGATGGCCGCCAGCTTGTGCGCGCGCGGTGCAAAAAAAGGCAAGCATAATAACGTGGTATCGTTAATGGCCGGGCAATTTCAACGTGTACGACGAGTGCCCTCTCTTTTTCTCATTCCTTCTTCACTTTGCTCCTTCCCACCAGCTCCAAAGGTGCGCCAACCACCTTCACATGCGTCCTTACATCCTCCTTTGTGTCGGCTCTATTTTTTTTTTTCAAAATGGTACCCCATCAGCTTCAATTTTCAAATATTAAGTTACCTTTCATCAACGACAACGCTATGTCGATCCTTTGTCGAACTTTTAAACAATTCAATTATTGGAGAATTTTTAGTCACTTTAATATTGATAAAAGATTTTACGGGGTGTGTCTATATTTTCAGATAAAATTCGATGGTATCTTTCTTATATTTAAAATTAAGGTTTGATCAAAGAAAACCTTAAAAAAGGAGTTAATCTTGTAGAATGGCTAGAATTCTAAATATAGCGAATGTTTCATTCAATGTTTACCTTCTGTGAGTTGTTATTTATATTTTCACTGTGTGATTATTTCGTTTCTAATTATTTTTCACTTTCAAAAACGATTCCGATTAGTCCTCAACAGTTTTATTATTTGATAAATAGCAGATTGGCGATGCAAATTATTTGCTTTCGAAAATTCAACAGCATTGATCGTCGTGAATTATTCAAGTAATTCGACGAATATCGACAGAACATTGAATAACGATGGAATTTTTGTCCTTGTCAGTTCGTTCGTTTCTCAGTTGGTTTTGCAAAAAAAAAAAAACGAACAATAAATGTTGGTGAAATTGTACGAAGCAAACATACGCGTTTCGTCTGACGAATATTTTACACCCGAAAGCTTTAAATGCAATTAGCGTCTCACTTTCGGCGTTTTTATTTCTCCCTGTGGAAACACGTTTTCCGATTTCCTTCTTTCCCTCCCTCGCCTCTGTTTTCAATAACGCAGCTGAGAAATTGCGACAAAGTTTATTTAGACACAATATTGATTATCGCTATATCTGTTCGCCAACTTTCGGCAAGTTTCATGACTAATTTGATCCAACGCGAAGTTATAAACCTTCCTTTATTACGAGGTTATTTCGTCGGACGTGAAAAAAAAAAAAAAAACTGTAAAAGTCTCTGGAAACCGAAGAAAAACTTAAGAAAACTCCCAATTTCTTTACGATGGAATATTTAAGCAGATTATTAACCACCGCTTAAATGTCGCGCAAGTTTTCTCTTCCGGAAGTCAAACGCTGGTAGAAAAGTTTCATCTTGGAGAAAAAGAGAAAACTTGTGCGAATTTTCAGAGAACTGGTCTTTAGAGTTATTAAAGTTTCAATAAATAATTCATTCGTTACTTATCTTCTTTTCTAATTTCGTTAGAAAATCTAATTTCGACGGAAAATGTACGATCGTCGAAATCTGAAATTACCGGTAGCCTTGATTGTAGAACATTTTGATACTTTTATCGCGAAAATAATTCGGAATGATGAGTTTGCAACTGCAATATTGGTAGAACGATACCAATGATACAATAAACCCGCAACAGGTCATTAGGTTCAATCGACGTGTAATCCCGTTGCGCAGAATACAGTGGAGAATCCCCTGCCGAAATTGCATGGTGTTTGGGGCTGTTTGCTGGCGCACAGGGAACTAATCGAAAACATATTTGTCGATTAAGCCGCCAGTGCTCGGACCTTTTCATGATCAGATTGAATCATTCCGAGGGTAATAATGCTCCTCTCTTATTGC